CGCCTCTTTTCAGGTTCCTATCTTGTGCTTGCATCATCATTTATGTTTTTTTGCTGCTGCTGTCTACTGACCTCCAGATGCAATTTACAATCTCCTCCCCCAAACCGCCTCGCTTTGTGGCCCTGGATCCCCTATGATGTCCTTTGAATAAATCATCTAACGTTGTAAACTGTAGCTGGCCTTGACCCAGGTGGTCCACTGTGCATCTTGAAACAGCTAGTCCTTTTTCTTCCTTGCTGAAGAGCCACACTTTGGTTTGGGTGACCAACTTACCCACATGGTACCCATAGAGTTGTTGAATAGTCTAGGGAGCACCCTTCCCTTTGCAGAGACTTGTTTAGGGGTGGGCATGTGACCAAGTTTGGGTCAAAGACCCAGGAGGGTAACCCTATTGAAGCCTTCTAGAAAACATCTTCCTCGATGCTTAAAAGTGATAAATATCACAAGAAATGCTCCTCATCTCCCTTGCCCATTGTTATGCTGGAGCATAGCACAGGAACTACAGCTACTGTCTTGGAACCATAGTGGAGCCAAACTGACAGGCTGGGGATGGCAGAGTGAAAAATATACTGAAACAGAAACAAATGATAAAATGGTAAATTAGAACAAGTTTAAGCTGCCCAACCTCATGGCAAAAGAAAGGATCTTCCTTCTCATGAGCCAGTTGAATCGGGATTGCTTTTTTATTTACCTGTGATTTTTTTAAAAGATTTTTTTAAATTGGGGAATTGGGGGGATGGGAACAGTGCTGGGGAATTGGGGGAAGGGGAACACACAAGTTGCTGTCGTTTTGTTCTTCAGTCTAGTTGTGGAGGACATTGCTTCACTGGCCCAAGTTAGCACCATCATTGCGCTCCTCGCTCCTCCCGGGCGAGGCAGATCAGTTGCTGGCTTCTGGATGGCAGCTCACGCTGGCTGCTGGCTACACACGGTAGCCCATGGCAACCCACTGCCACAGGGGCTGCAGCCTACGCCATCGCCGGCGACTCACCGGCAGCCCAGCTCCAGGTTGAGCTGTTGTTCAGCATCTTAGCTGTGGAGGGCAGTGTCACTGGCCCTCATATGTGGGATCTGAACAGGGGCCCTCTGGCGTCCCAAGCCAGTTCTTAACCATTGCGCCACTCAGCCGGCTCCATTAACTGTGATAGTTTTTGTCCTGATATTTCCTCATAATTAAAGTTAGGTTATGTATTTGGGGTAGGAGTACTGCTGAAATGAAGTGCAGTCGTGTTCTTTTCTGTGCAGCTCTCTGGAGGCACAGTTGGTCCATTTCTTCTAACACTGGCAAGATCAACTTGATCACTTGGTTAAGGTGGTGTCTGCCTGGTCACTCTACAGTCACTGTTTTCCTTCTATAATTAATAAGTATTTTATAGGAAGGTATTTTGATACTCCAGTTCTTCATTAAACTTTTACTCACTAGTGTTAGTAGTCATTGATGCCTAAATCACTTATTACTGTGATGGTTGCCAATGGTGTACTCTATGACTTTTTAAAAGTTTTTTTAAATTGTGGTAAAATATACATTACATAAAACAGCATTATAGCCTTTCTTGTATGTACAGTTCAGTGGCATTGAGCACATTCACGTTGTTGTGCACCCATCACCACCATCCATCTCTAGAACTTTTTCACCATCCCAAACTGAAACTTGTACCATTAAACACTAACTACCCGTTTCCCCTCCCCTCAAGCCCTCGCAACCACTGTTCTATCTTCTGTTGGTATGAGTTTGACTGTTATAGGAGCTGCATATAAGTGAAATCATGCAACATTTGACTTTTTGCATCTTGCTTATTTCTAATGTCTTCAAGTTTTATTCATGTTGCAGCATGTATCAGAATTTCATTCACTTTTAAGGCTGTATAATATTCAATTGTGTATATATACCACATTTTGCTTATTTATTCATTCATCTATGGACATTTGATTGTTTCCATCTTTTGGCTATTGTGAATAATGCTGCAGTGAACATGGTTGTGCAAATATTTATTCAAGTCCCTGCTTTCACTTATTTTGGGTATATACCTAGAAGTGAAATTACTGGACCATATGATAATTCTAGGTTTAACTTTTTGGGAACCACCATAATTTTTCCATAGTGCCTGTTCCATTTTACTTTCCCATCAACAATGCACAAGGATGCTAATTTCTCCATATCTTTGTCAATAATTATTTCAGGTTTTTAAAATAGTAGCCATCCTAATGACTGTGAAGTTGTATCTCATTGTGATTTTGATATGCATTTTCCTAATGACTAATGATAAATATCCTTTCATATGCTTATTGGCCATTTTCATATCGTCTTTGGAAAAATGTCTAGCAAGCCCTTTGCCCATTTTAGAATCAGTTTTATTGCTTATGAGTTTTAGAAGTTTTTATATATTCTAGGTATTAGTCCTTTACTATATATATATATATATATATATATATATATATATATATATATATATATATATATATATGATTTGCAAAGATTTTCTTTCTTTCTGTGGGTTTCCGTTTCACTCTCTTGATAGTGTCCTTTAATGCACAATAGTTTTTAATTATAAAGTTTAGTTTATCTTATTTTTTATTTGTTGCCTGTGCTTTTGGTCTTATATCAAAGAAGTTATTGCCTAATCCAATGTCCAAATGAAGTTTTCCCCTATGCTTTTTTTTTAAAGGTTTTATAGTTTTAGTTTTTACCTTTAGGTCTTTAATCCATTTTGAGTTAATTTTTGCATATGGGGTAAAGTATAGGTCCACTTATTCTTTTGCATGTGGATATCCAGTTTTCCCAACACCATTTGTTGAAAAAAACAGGATTTTCTTTTAGATGTACTAAAAACATGTTAGCACTGAGGTTACCAAACTTTCTCATGTCACGGCACCCTTATCGTCTCAATTAATTTTTTTATGTGCGCCTAGGCCAAAAGAAATACATAACAATTCCATTTATCAAATAGTTACTTCTAAACAACTTAATATGTATTTATTCCTGAACAACATAGCCATTCAAAAAAATATTACACATAAACAAACAAAAAAAAACCATTTAAATTTTATTCTTAAATAACACAATTCTGTACAAATGTAATGTGCGTTCCTGTTGAGTGATGCACAGCATCTCAGACGTTGGAATCAAAATGGACACTGCTGCCGTCATTTCCTGTTCACACTGGTTTGGTGTGCCGTTTGCTTTCTATCTCAACAATTGCAAAGATATAATGTCATTGACTCTTACATTTCACTCTTTCATACCCTGACCACGCTTTCCTATCATCCATCACACAGGCTTTCTCCTAGTTCTTATTTTTCCTTTGTGAAGATCTCAAAGTTCTTCATTTTTTCTATTTTCTACCAGTCTATCGGCTTCTTTCTGTTTAAGCATTTCCTTATCTAGCCAATCATTCAACTTCTCTGTTTATGTCCCCAGCCTGATAAACATTGAAAACTCCATACAAATTAGGATCAGTAGTCTCTAGCATCATTAAATCCTAAACATTATTTGTCAATCCTTTACATAAATTCTTGGTGGCTACTGCAAAATGATCCCAAAATGATTCCAAACTTTCCTCTTATTTCTCAAAATTGTACTATATTGCCTTCTGCCTCATAATTAGCAGCTCCATGAACTTTACCAAGAAAATAAACATCATAGTCCTCATGCTAGAATTCACCCAGCTTCCTACCTCATCATCCACAAACATCTCCAACTCTACTCAGACATCTTCCTCTCATCGCAGTTCAGTAAAGGAAGGTCCCTTCCTTCTGTCAAGGCTAATCCCCCACCTCTGCGAAGACCCTCCATTTGTCCCTGCAGAAGCACACTCCACTCTTCCCTACCTGTACTCTGCTCCCGGAGGCCCTCTGGCTTCTGGTGGAGTTTCGGTGGGGTAGAATACTTTGGCAGGAGACTGGGAGTGGGAGGAGAGGCAGGCTGGCTGATTTGGCCCCTAGGGCCCTCCATGCCCAGCCTTGAGTTGACAGTGGCTGCGTGTCTCTCAAGCTACATTTGCTGCTGCTCGGCGGCCCTCTCTTAGAGCTGGGTCCCTTTCTCCTCTGGCCCCTTCAGGACACATGTGGTAGTGGCTTTTGCTACTAGCCCAGGAGTGCTCTACCCCTTTGGTTACCCTCACCCCTGCCCACACCATGGTAAATAGGCCTTTCATTAGTCTCTCTTCAACCTTCCTTTTGAATGTATCATGTATTTCTTATTGGAAACTTGATGGGATACAGATCTCATCCCCTATACTTCTTTGTGGCAACTCTTTAGAAAATGCCATTCCCTGGCTAGCGATAATGCTGATGATAAACTAACAGTAATAATATATTGACAACTATGATTTATCAGGCAGTTTTATTGTTCCAGGCACCATGACAACAGTTTAACACATGTAACTTTATTTAATCCTCACATTGAAACTGCGCATTCTTTTCACAGTTCCCTTTTACAGATGAGACACCTGAGATTTAGAGGATAAGCAATGCCAGAGTTGAAATGTGAGTCCAGGACTGTGAGACTCACCTATTAGACAGAAGGATGAATTTCTTTACTGTTAGCCCGGATGGACTGATCATGACTTCCCTAAAGCAAACTGGAGACTAGGAAAAGCCCAACATGATTTGTGGTGTTGCACTGATGATTTCTATTATTTTTGGGTTTTAAATTTGGTGCGTGAATCCCTTGGTTTATGAGGAATGCAAACCAGCCAGTTCTGGAGTTGCAGGTGATTCTGCTAAATTTCTCCTGCAGAGCTGCAATGCAGTAGGGGCAAAACATTTGTGGCAGTGAGCAGTGATGAGTGGAAGGACTACACACATGAAATAAATAAACACATCCCTCTTGCACTTCATTCTTTTGGAGGAAGGACTTACTTTTATCTTAAGCACTGCTCTGCCCTGAGATGGAAAAAATTCACGTCACTTGTGGTCAAGTGTTTCCCTAAGGAAGGGACTGAGTTATATCAGCAAATGTTTAGAAAAGTTCTGTAACAGAACAATACAGAGCACTTACCTAGAAGCTGAACAATGCTCTAAAGCCTCTTGTGGAGCCTCTGCAGAATACAGTCTCATTTCAGGTAGAAGAACAGATGATGAGGTGGGAGTGTGGTGGTGAGAAAGTGAAGGTAAAATATTATTTTTTCCTTGCTTTCTGTTTCAAAATATTGGGGGATAATTAGGAAGGGAAAATATGTAACTGAAGAAAACATAATCCTTTTTCTCATCTTGACCTCTTTAACTTTGGCCATTACTTGAGCAATGAAGGTATTTCTAGTAAAAGTGATTCAAATAAATTTTTTTTAAATACCCACCCTTTAAATCCAGTGAGTTCCTCCTGAATCTATGCTTAGCTTTCAGACAGAGAAAGCACAAGGGGGAGTCCAGACAGATGCATAAGTTAGGTTCTTTCATAGAACATCTGATAAGTTTTAATCTTTTGCTATTCTGGGAAAATGAGCGGACACATGAGAACAAGATCTGAGTCTAGATCTGAGAAGATCTCTTCTGACTTCCCCTCCTGTAGCCCTTGTCTGCCCTGTGGTCAGCCACATCAGTGGTGCCTCTTGAGCAAAAGGCATCTGGCTGAAGAGGACGGTCTTCTCTAAGTCTCAAGATCAGAAGCCCAGAATTCCTCTAAGCATCAGAGCTACATGTCTTACTATCCTACTTTCGTTAGGTCTTCACTTTCATTCTGCCATCCCAGCTGTTTGGCCTTGTGATATATTTATACTTAAGGGCGAGGGATGTAAGGGGAAATGTTGTTCTACCATGTGGCCTACTGTTCCATTTATTGGTAAATAAATGTGGATCTGTGTAGTTTTGTGGTCTTTATCAATCCTAAATCTTCTGGATTTTTTTGCATACTTTGCAGATTCCCTACTGCTTTCATCACATCTTTATTCATTCCTTCCCTGGGTGCTCTTGATGGAACCTCACAGGAGTTTGGTTGAATGCAGCATATTGGTGAGGCAATGGCTCATAATTTTCTTTCTTTCAAAAAAAAATTATTTATTTATTTTATTATTGTTTTTTGTTAGTTTCAGGTGTACAAAACAACATAGTGATTAGACATTTATATACCTCACAAAGTATAGCCCCAATAAGTCTATTACCCATCTGACACTGTACATAGTTATAATATTATCGACTATTGTTCCTATGCTATACCTTATATCCCTGTAAATTATAGTTGACATTCAATATTATTTTATATTAGTATAGTGGCTAGACACTTATATAATTTATGAAGTGATCCACCAATAAATTTAGTACCCATCTGACACTATACACAGTTTTGGCTTGGGTTGGACTCTAGTAGACTTAAATTATGCACTTGCTTAATAAATGAAATAAAACAAACTTCCACCCTGTGTCATTCTATGGCACTGTTGGAGTTACTTCTTGAAGTCTAAATACTTTTCAGTATTTGGTTTCTTGGTACAAATACTTCTGATGGCCTTGTGCTTTTTTAGACTGTCCAACTTGAGGCATGCCAAACCTTTTATTATAAGTATCTTGTTAGGTATGCAATCCTTTGTTAGAAGGTCTTTTTCTAGCCCAGCAAGTCTTCTATCGGTTTTATCAGAATCACCTAGAATGTGCTTGTTAAAAATTCAGATTCCTGGACCCCACCCCAAGCCTACTAAATCAGAATGTCTGGGTTGAAGCCAAGATATTTGCATTTCTAACTTGTTCCCCATATTTGAGAGCCTCTGTTCTCTATTATACAGAGGCTAATGCCAGAGTGAAAATTTCTCACCCTGGGCCTAGACCATTATTTCTCAGCCCTTTTTGTTTATTAGAATCACCTGGAGTCTTTAAAATATAAAATGCCTGGGGCTTACCCCTGGCTAATTAAATCAAAATCTTGGTGGGGTGTGTGGTGGTAGTTGAATTTTTTTTTGTCGCTTCAAAGTGTTACTAATGTATGACCACGATTAGTGCTCCTGGCCTAAACCTAGAGGCCTAACAGTTGCCTTCACTGTGTTGATAAACTTGCTGAAGTTGCATAATATACAACAGTTGGGGCGGCTGCCCGGCTCATGATGAATAATGCCCTTCTTTGAGAGGAGTCTTGATTGGCAGTGTGGGAATCCTGTGGCCAGAGCCCATCAAATCAGCTTAGACATCCAACCCAAGCCAAGTCCATCAGTATCTTTGTCCTGAAAGTTTTTAAAAATTCTTTTCACTTTCATTTTTCCTTTACTAGACTATTTCTCAAAATAAACAAAACTTTATTTTTTCTTGTAATAAAAATAACCCATTAATAGAAATAAATCCAGACAATATAAAAAGGCATAAAAATGAAAATTACCACCACCCAGAGAGAAATCTTATTAACATTTTGATGTGCACCTTGCTATATTTTATCATGCATATATAAAAATGTGATCATATTATACATGCTGTTTTGTAATCTTTTTTATTAAATCTAATATATATGGACCTTTTTCTTTATAATGAATATTGATCTTTATGATTATTTTCAAATCTGCATAGCAACATTTCATTGCATGGCCATATTCTAATTTATTTAATGAGTTCTCTGTTGAGAATTGAGAAAACATGCTTTCCATTTTTTTCACTATTACGAATAACATCATAGTGAACATATTTGTACATTTAACTTTGTATGCCTTTCCAGGTATTTCCTTAGGATAAATTCACAGAAATCAGGTTGTTGGGTAAAAGGGCATGCATATTCAAAACCTGATTACATATTGCCAGACTCCCCCTTGAGAAACTGATCATATTTGTACTACTGCCATCATGGCATGAAAATACGCTGCTCCACACATTACCAATATCATCTATAAGTAATCTTAAAATTTTGCCAATTTGTTAGGCAAAAATGATACTTATTATTTTTTAATTACTTTGATTCCTTGATAGGGGAAGCACTGATCAAATTCTGAGTGAGCAAATTTCACTCTAGCCATGGAAGCCATTAGGGTTCAGTCCTGCGTTAGAGATGAAATAAGTGACCTGGATCTGATAAATACTAAGATGACATCTGCTGATTATTATTATTATTATTATTATTAATTTTAACAGTCTGATTTTGAGGTGTATATAATTAAGTTCTAAGAATTAGTTCTAAGAACTTTTCATCCCCACAAAATCAATGCAGGATGTTTGTGTGTGTGTGATTATGTGTGTGTGTGTGTGTGTGTGTGTGTGTGTGTGTGTGTGTGCTGGGATCGTCGTCTCGTGGAACTGAAGAATGGAAACACAGACCAGAACAGTAAAGTTGCAGAAAAGGACAGTTTATTAGAAGAAAAAAAACATTTCAAAGAAGCAGAAACAGCCCGAGCAGTAGAGAATAGCTCAATGGCTATTATTAGAAGAGAAAGTATACTCCAAAGAGTTTTGAGCGGGCTGAGCAAAAGGAGCTCAAAAGGCTTTGACTGGCCAAGACTTGGAGTTTTTATCTCTTTTTCTAGAATGGGCTGTTCCTCTTTGGGCATGGGACCACTTGATTGACACTTGTGATTGACAAGAGGTTATTACCTCATATTTTTAGACTGTGCATGTTCCTTCCCAGAATTCAGTCTGTTATAATGATATTAACGAACTTCCAGGCATATATACGATACTATAATGATGGTATAATGCGGCCCAGGTGGAATGAAGGTCGTTATGGCTTTTACTGCGCAGGTGTGGGTGACTGGTCTAATCCAGTCAGGTATTTTTTTTCCTGTAGGGGTAGATAATTACAATGAAAAGGGGAAGTTTTGGGTGGAGAGGGGAGGTCTTTTGGGCTGTTGCATTCTGTGGGATGGTGTAGAGACCCAATGCCTGCCTCTAGCTGCCTGCCTTGTTTTCCCCTTGAGAGATGTGATCCCCATAAAATCTCTATGGGAAGTTGAGGGACAGGAGGCCTTTTCTTCTGTGTCTACTTCCTTCTGGGCAGGGGTGTAGAGCTGTCCCTGCCTATTTGGGGGATTCACGGAATTCTCACCCTATCTGATCTCAGATGAGAGGAAGGGGTCTCGAGATCCACATGGAAGACCGTATTGGCTTCTTTGGTGGTGACTGGCAATCTTGCTGGGGTACCCTCTGTATCCCCAAGGCCCCTAAATGAGGAAAAATTGATTTTAATTAATAAATTTCTTAAAGAGCAGAGCTCAAAGCTATTGATGTAGGGTGGCTATGGGTTTGGAAAGAACATTAGGCTTTAATATTTATAATCAAGAAGTATACTGGCCTGAGGAAATGTTAAAACCTATTTAGTCTATGGGATGAGATTATCCAAGAGTTAGGTCCAGGATGGCTTGGGGAATGTTGGGCAGTCACAGGCTTTTAAGTAGTTATCTAAAGCAGGGGTGAGAGATATTCTGTGATTCAGTCTAGGAGCAATCTTTAATCTAGGATTCGGAAACTGATTAGAAGAGTAATCAAAGCCAGGGCCTGAGGAACTAAGAAACTAGGGAAGAGGAGAATTAAAATTTCTATAAGAAAGAAAACTTAAAAGTTGTCCAGTGGGGGGGAGGGGGGGGAAGCAGGGGAGGCTACTCACTTGGCCCCTATCAAAAGGACATCCCACACTCATGAAGTAGTCACTCCCCATTTCCTTATGAGGGGACCCTTTGCTAGTCTGACAGGTGAGCTTAGATGTGGACAACCTAAAGAAATGATCGAACATCAAATATGTTTCTTGTGGGGCATGAATCTCAGCCAGGAATGCAAAAATCTTTTTTTTTTTAAAGATTTTTATTGGGGAATTGGGAGGAGGGGAACAGACAAGTTGCTGTCCTTTTTTTGTTCTTCAGTCTAGTTGTGGAGGACGTTGCTTCACTGGCCCAAGTTGGCACCATCATTGCGCTCTTCCCGGGTGAGGCAGATTAGTCGTTGGCTTCTGGACGGCTGCTCACTGCGGCTGCTGGCTGCTCACGCTGGCTGCTGGCTACATACGGTAGCCCATGGCAACCCACTGCCACAGGGGCTGCAGCCTACGCGGTCGCGGGCGACTCAGGGCAGCCCAGCTCCAGGTTGAGCTGTTGTTCAGCATCTTAGCTGTAGAGGGCAGTGTCACTGGCCCTCATATGTGGGATCCGAACCAGGGCCCTCTGGTGTCCCAAGCCAGCTCTTAACTAACGCGCCACTCTGCAGGCACCAAAAATCATTTTTAAGATGGCTATTATTACACAAAAAAGAGAAAACCCCCCAGAAATTAGTAAGTGCTGGTGAGGATGTGGAGAAATTGGAACCCTTGTGCACTGCTGGTGGGAATGTAAAATGTATAGCTGCTATGGAAAACAGTATGGTGAGTCCTTAAAATAGTAAACAGCCCCTCTCTTCCTGTGCGCTGCTGTGGGAGGTGGCGCTCATCTTTTACTTGGTATCATGGCTGCCCTCAGACCACTCGTGAAGCCCAAGATCATCAAACAGAGGACCAAGAAGTTTATCCGGCACCAGTCAGACCGATATGTAAAAATTAAGCGTAATTGGCGGAAACCCGGAGGCGTTGACAATAGGGTGCGCAGGAGGTTCAAGGGCCAGATCTTGATGCCCAACATTGGTTATGGGAGTAACAAGAAAACAAAGCACATGCTGCCCAGTGGCTTTCGGAAGTTCCTGGTCCACAATGTCAAGGAACTTGAAGTGCTGCTGATGTGCAGCAGATGTGCTGAGATTGCTCACGTCTCCTCCAAGAACCGCAAAGCCATTGTGGAAAGAGCAGCCCAGCTGGACATCAGAGTCACCAATCCCAATGCCAGGCTGCGCAGTGAAGAAAATGAACAGACAGCTTGTGTGCAAATTGTGTTTTAATAAAACCATAAAATTCTTCCAAAAAAAATAGTAAACAGAATTACCATATGACTCAGCAATTCCACTTTTGGATTTATTCTTAAAAAAATTGGATGTAGGGACTCAAACAGATATTTGTACAACCATGTTCATAGCAAAATCACTCACAGTCACTAAAAGGTCTTCCACCAAGCAATCCAAGTGTCCATTGA